TCTACCATACTCAAGAGGTAAGCATCCAAACTAAGTTTATATTGTATAGCTTCATTTGTATGCTAGCTATGGAGAATGCTTTGGAAAAACAAAATGCATGTATAATTAGAGAAAACATAGATCCAAAGCATTTAGGGTTGCATGTGCACCATAGGAGTGTTATAGTGCTCAAAACCCAACATTAAGTCCATGTTTAATAGGAAATGACTATAATGCCCTTAATATTTCTTTTTCAATTTTCTTATTATTTTTTAATTAAAAGAAATGATTTAAGTGATTTATTGACCCACTTGCACTCCTACTCCTGCTTTACTCTTACCACTCCCACTCCCACTCCTACAGCCAGTTATCGGCCACCATCAGCCACCTCGAACCTCCGCCAGCCACCATCGGTCATCTCTAACCACCGCAAGTCACCATCAACCACCTCTAACCGCTGCCAACCATCAGAAAACCACCACAATCGAACCTCAAACAGTTATCAAACCATGATTTATCCGAAAACCTGAAAATCATACCAGAAATCAAACAATCACACCATCACCACCACATGTGACTGCTATCATCAGAAACCTAACCACTACCGGACAACATCGGAAAATGAAAATACATCCAGAAAATCTCTTATATAACCTAAACAATTGATGAGATATGAAAACCAAAGCTGATGCGGATCTGAACAAATCTGAAACAAACACCGGCCACCCCATTATCGGAAAACCATCACCCACTCCTCTAACCCTAACCTGTAACTCAAATCTGGCAAGACCAAAACTCAGATGACTAGAGAATCGACGCACACCACACCACACGTCACTACCATATCCGCTCTGAAGTCACCACAAGCTCCGCTATAAAGCCATAACCACCGTGCCCTGAAGCCTCCACCACTAGATCTGCTGCCACCACCACTGCCATCGACCATCGTCAAATAAATCTACTTCAGGAAAGCGATCAAGAATCAGATCGACCCAAAAATAGGAGGAAGACGGAACAGAGAGAAATCGACGTCGGGAAAACCTTTACAGAACGGATGATAGCATCGGAAGAGGTTTCCGGCGAGAGAGATAGAAGCGAAAAGAAGAAAGAGTAAAGAAATATAGAGTAGACGACGGTCTGAGGGCAGTGCGTCCGTCGCTTTGGTGTCTCCGGTGGTGGGGCTGAGTTACTTTCTTTATCAGATGTGAGAGAATGAGAGATGAGGAGAAAAGGTGAGATCGTTGCGTTAGGTTTGGGAGTGAGGTAGGACCTATCACCTATGTATGTTAACTGATTATTTTAATTAATAAAATATAAAAAAACTGAAAAATAAAATATTTTGGGTATTATAGACATTTTATATTAGGCATGGACTTACATCGTAACAAAATCAAAACCTAGGGACGGTCCAAGTGCAAAACAAAAGTTAGGGACCAAACACGAAATTTTAACAAACCATAGGGACGAGTTCAGTAATTTGTTCTAGTAAATAATAAGAGTTGGTTGAAGTTTCTATGCAGATTTAGAGGGTGTGATAAAATGAAAATCAATCATTAGATGGATGAAATAAACCAACAAAAATCAATCATGATCGGTATATATAAGATTCCATTCATACGATTAAAATTACCCTATTGCAATTTACCTTTTTGTTTATTTATTAAACTGAAAGGTACTAGCACTCTAGCAGGATATGACTATATATGTTTTATTTCTTCCATTCCTGATTACGAAGCTAAAGAAAAAGAAACACCGTCGTACCGAAGGCGCCGGTGGCCATTCAAGAGTCCAATTTCTTCGTCGTATCCTCCAGTGAGTGATGCTTGTTACTCAACCCTATGATTGTTTTATAAATTTTCATGATGTATTGGTGAATTGGTAAATGTAATTAGTTGCGCTACCATATTTTTTAGGGGAAATGACACAACAGTCCAACAAACTTTCTAGGGTTGACCTTTTAAGTCCCTAAACTAATTCTGTGTCTTTATAGGGGCATAAGGTTAGAAGCAACCTGTTTTTTTAGTCCCTCTAACCTATTATAGCAGGTTTCAGTAGCAACATCAACTCTTTTCCATTTAAAAGTCAAAATCACATTTTGACTTTCTCAATATCGATTTCCATTATACAGCAATGGTTGCACATCAAACCTTTGTATATGATTTCACGCCTAAAATTTCATGATTCATAGAAGGAGGATATTGAAAGGATCCGGTAACTCGATCGGATTCAACATCATCTTCTCTGCCACAAGCGTTGACACCTGAACACCATCGACCAAATCGTAAAGCTTGTAAAATGGAATTTCAGTCTAAATCGGAAGGCTCAAATTCTGAATTCGCAATCGGAATAAGGTTGTTCGGAAATGATTCACCGGAATCAGAGTTAAGGAATCGGTTTCGGAATCGGAAGTAATTTTGATTCGGATTCAGAGTTACTGCAACCAACACATTGTGATCGTAATTTCAGTTTATGAACTCGCATGTGTCGATCTCACAATCAATGCGTTTCGTCTTTTATTTCGCAATTAGGACTGTTGCTTCCAATCTCGGAATCGAAATCGATCGTATTGGTTCTGGTCTGCAATTGATTTGCAAACTGGAATCGTTTTCGTTAGATTTTGCCTTTTAAAGTCAAAAAATGCATTTCATCTGTCCAGATGATGAAGATGTTTCTTTCTTTATCTTTCTACATAATGGTTTTTATCTTGATGGTGTAGACTTGTTGCCAGGTTAACATCTTCTTCATTTCCCGATGATGCTAAAGCTAAATAGTCAAATTATAGTGTTTCTTTAATTGTGTGTGAAATGAGAATTTGGTTTGTTTTAAAAGACTGTGTGTATAGTGATGGAAGAGAGAAAGCTATTGGAGAGTGAAAACTTATCGATGAAGATAAAGTGGAGAGCAGACAGGGGAAAAAGGTGAAGAAAGCAAAAGAGGAGAAGATGAATAGTACCAGGTATTTGGTCAACAAGTCAAAGGGGTAACCGAATGACCCCTTCATTTTGTCCAAAAGGACGTAATCGACCTCGAAAAAACGAATTTGTTCCCTCATAAAGCAACAAAAATACTTTAGGGACTAATTGAACCAACCCTAGAAAGTTCGTTGGACTGTTGTGTCATTTCCCCTATTTTTATTAGGTTTTATGTTTGTGGATCTGAAATTCATAAATTTTATAGTTTTAGGCCTAATATGTAAAATTTTTAATATGTATAAAAACTGAAAAACAGGGGGCTAAAGTCAAATTTTATAGTTTTAGGCCTAATATGTAAATTTTTAATAGTACATGACTAATTTAAAAAAAAAAACAGGGGTTGGGGGGGGGGGGGGGGGGGCAGGCCTAAAGAAGCTCTGTCAATGTATCTACTAATACACTTATAGACAGTGTACCTAATCAGTTTATAGTATCGTAAAGTAAGTTGGGTATCTAACACATGTAACATATTTAATTAACTAATCTAATTACTAAAAATTAACCTAAAACAAGCAAACATTTAAATTGGTTTTTATCTGATTTTACAAGTTCAGACAAACTTAAACAATTAACTAATAATTTCAATCAATATTCTAAAACACTTCCGTTTAGATCGAATCCACTTCTCCTCTATGGTTAGCTACAAATTATGGATTATTAAAGTTGGTTATCAAATATTATGTTATTAGCAATTCAAGTCCGAATTTACTAATATTTTCACTAATTCATGAACTACCTTGTATCGTCATACATAAGCAAAACACATAATCAGTTACTGGATATAGATAAACTATGTAAGATTTATCTAAATAAACATAATTATGGTCATAATTTATGTTCTCCAACACAACTAAATTAGTCATTTTTATCACTTATCTAAGATTTTGTCGATTCTACCTCTAGTAATTTAATGGTCACTAAACTACTAGGTAACAAGTTCATGCAATTTAATAGTCACTAAGCTACACAGATCTGAATTCAAGCAATCAAAGTATCCAATATTAACATGCTATGTATTCAAAATCAAACACAAGCTCAAAACCAACTATTAAAATCCATAATTTGATAAAGTAAACCATAGAGTGAAAGCTTCATCTAGCTAAACGGAAGCAGCTAAATTCAGCTACTCATGGCTGAAAACGCAAACACAAATCCAATTAAAATTGACATGATCAAAGTGTACCAAACTAATGTAATGAATATGTTCTTCAATTTCTCGATCTTCAATCAATTCTTCTTCAAACATATGTTTTTCGCCTTTTTCTGACCTTCAAACTTGGTTATCTCTCCAGAATATGTCTCAGCCGACCTCCTAAAATCGTAAAAGTGAAGGAGTATTTATAGTTTTGGGAATTTTCATGCTTCACGACGTGAACAAAGGTTTCACGTCGTGAATTGGGTACAAATCTTTATCGGGCAAGGATTCTGACTTCCCGCATACTTATCTTTTGGAATACTCACTCCACGTCGTGATGTTAATGGCCACATCGTGACTTGGGTTTTTTCGCTGGAATTTTCTTCTTTTAAGCTTCCATCCTCCAAAGTTCCCACTCTTGTCAATTTTGATCCTAATTCTTCAAGAGTGTTCATTTTGGTTGCAAAATTCAATTCAATTTCAGCAAGTACCAAATATCTTTGCAAATAACCAAAATATTAAATAAAATGTATTAAAATATTGTTTAAAAATGTGTATAAATATAAAAATATCAAGTATATTTTTTATCCTGTAACTAATTGTTACTTCTCCAACTTTTGTCTGTTTGTTTTTGGTAATAAATTGTCATTTACTACCAAAATGCCACAGCAAGTGTATATGATTAAAAAAATATAATCTTTCTTAGATGGACTAATAGGTGTTTGGGTATTCATTTAAATATGAATTTTTAACTTATTGAATTTTTCAAAAATCAATAAATTAAAAAAAGTTTTTGGGTATTAAAAAAAAAAAGAATATTTTAAAACAATTTTTATGTACTCTTTGCAAATACTGTTTTAACTTGTTGAAACTACTTACTACTTTACATATTACTACTTTACATAACTGTTGTAAAAGACACAACTACCCTTAACTTACCCTTATCATCATCGTGACAGCCTCCAATACCCCACATCCTCCATCGTTGCGCTCATCGAATGTCGCCTCCCACAAGCTGCAGGTAGCTCGAATCTGTAATCCTCTTTTCTTCCACCACCTGCAATCGTTTTCATACATCGATTCCTTCTTCTGGTGCTTCTCCAGCTGATCGATTCCATCGTTGCAATTGATTCGGAGCCTGCAAACAATTTCTGCAACAGGTAATAATACCGATTTTATTTTTTTTGACTTTCCATCTGATCGATTTCCAAGCATATGATTTCTGATTTTGCATACTTATTTATGTGATTGATTCTTGAATCCGATTTTATAGCTAATTTTGCATATTGATTGTTAATGATTTCTGATTTTGAGGAGGTTCCCCTCTAAATTCATACGGATGCAAAAGAAATAAAAATACAATTTTACCCTTCCCCTTTTATCTTCAGCAAATAAGGTTTGCGACTTCAATCATCTCAACGACTGCCTCATTTTTTTCCTCTTTGGCTCTGAATTTTCCTTGCATATGCGATTTAATCTTCTCAACATCATTAGGTATTATCGATTTCACCTTCTTCTCTGTCATCTTCTCATTTTCTCAGCAAATAAGTTTTTTATTTCAAATTGTTGCTGCGATTTCATCCATTTTTTGGACGAATTCTTTTTGAGTTTTGACATTAGCGAATTGTGGATGTTACACAAAGCAATTATCACTGCTAATTGGGTAGATTTGTCAAAGTATAATGTCTAAATAAGAAAAAAAATGAAAGTACATAGTCCATATTGGTGAAAAGAGTAAAGTAGATTATTATCTCCTCAATCTAGGCTCTACAATATTGAACATTTGAACTTAAATTTTAAACAAAAAACAGGGAAGATAGTACAAAGAAAAGATGGTGTTTGCAACAGCCATAAGTTCATGTCCACGTCTTCATTTCCCAAAGAGACTTTCTGCAACTCAAAAAAAGATCAGATGTTGTTCAACTATCTCATCATCAATCTCTACAACCTTTGACCTTAAAACTTATTGGTCAACTCTAAGAGAAGAAATTAATCAGAAGCTTGATGAAGCTATACCTGTCCAGTACCCTAATCAAATCTATGAATCCATGCGTTACTCTGTTCTTGCAAAAGGAGCAAAAAGAGCACCACCAGTTATGTGTGTTGCCGCCTGTGAACTCCTTGGCGGCAACCGCCTTGCCGCCTTCCCCACCGCCTGTGCCCTTGAAATGGTACGTAAGTCTTCTTTTATTCTTTTTCTTATATTTTCCAATTCCTCTCATGCTTTCTCACTTTATTAAACATTACAATCAATTCGTGATTCACCATCCAAAAAATCTATAACAAATTTGGTCCAAGGGCAATTTGGTCATATTTAAAAAACTTACAGCTGAAATGTTGGTTTTAAGCCATCAAAGAAAATGAAACCATGAGGATGAGGATTGCTGGTGCTAAATTTTTGAAACTTGGACTTAAAGTGCAAATTTCACATACCATAAGGACCATTTCTCTAATTTACTCTTTGAATAAGAGTAAATTGCAAAATTGGTCCGTGTGGTTTCCCAAAAAGTGCACTTTGAGCGCTTTCTTTTTCATTCGCATGGTCAGTCCAAAATTGAAATTTCCATTTTCCATGTAGATTCGGTCCTTGTGGTATCCCAAAAAGTGCAGTTTGAGTTCTTTTCTTTTAGACGGCAGTTAACTCGAGGGACCAAATCTGAATGTTAGCTTCAATTTTGGACTGACCATGCGAATGAAAAAAAATGGACTCAAACTGTACTTTTTGGGAAACCACATGGACCAATTTTGCAATTTACTCTTTAAATAAAATTAGATAATGAAGAGAAATTTTATAGGTCCACGCGGCCTCTCTAATCCATGACGACTTACCATGCATGGATGACGATCCATCACGGCGTGGTCAACCCTCGAACCACACTGTCTTTGGTATGGACATGGCAATCCTGGCCGGAGACGCCCTATTCCCGCTAGGGTTCCGCCACATCGTCTCCCACACCCCCACTAACCTCGTCCCCCAAACCCAACTCCTCCACGTCATCACCGAAATCGCCCGAGCCGTGGGGTCCACTGGCATGGCCGCGGGTCAATTTGTTGACCTCGAGGGCCCACCAAACACCGTAGAATTCATCCACGAAAAGAAATACGGTGAGATGGGCGAGTGCTCGGCGGTTTGTGGCGGTTTACTGGCGGGCGGTGATGATGATGAGATCCAACGGTTGAGAAGGTATGGTCGGGCGGTGGGGATTTTGTATCAAGTGGTGGATGATGTTTTGGAGGCGAAAGTGAAAGGGGAGGAGAAGACCGGGAAGAGTTATGTGGCGGTTTATGGTGTTGATAGGGCGGTGGAAGTGGCGGAGGAGTTGCGGGCGGAGGCTAAGAGGGAGTTGGAGGGTTTTGAGAAGTATGGTGACAAGGTTTTACCATTATATAGTTTTGTTGATTATGCGGTTGATAGAGGGTTTAGTTTTGCTGATAAGGTTTGATTCTGTTAAATTTTGTAATCTCTGTCATGTTTTAAATATAAAGACTTTAGTTATCTTATATATTTTAGTTTTGTTTGGAAAAGGAAATAAAAAAGTATTTTAGTCAAAACGAATGTGTTGTATTTGGATTACATTGTGATCTTTTTATTTTACTTAATGATAATATGTGCATAAAAGCAACCGTCGTCCTAGTTAAGTATACAAATATAATTTGGGTTACATTGTTTCATTTCGTTTCAGTGTAACAGATCATTTTATTTCTTATTCCATCTTTTTCGTAAGCCGAGCAGATTATTATTTAAGCTACTAGCGAAAAGGAAAATGTTTATTGTAAAAATATGAACAACAAAATCAAATATACACAATTACATATGAATACATGTAGATTTATACAATATAACTATATTTATTAAAGGGTTAATATCATAAAATAACTAATAATATTCAATTTGTTATTTGGGTCATTGATATTTTAGTTAATATACAATAGACCAATAAACAATTTTTTGTATTTTCGTTACACTATTGGATTTCAGTGATGTACCTTTGGTTCTACGTTGCATTGTACGAGACGACTATATTAACAAAATTACTCTTGAAAATTCATTTCACTAGTATAATCACTAATATTAGGAAAATTTAAGTGTTTATTAAGCTATTAAATATAATTAAAAATAAATAACGTAAGAACAAATTAAATATTATTTGTTGTCATTTATGTATTGATTTTGTAAATGGTAACTAAGTGTAATTTGGTTAAAAATATGGAAAATTAAGAGTGCGTTTGGTTGTGGAAAAATTTCAAGTTTTCTAAGAAAATTTTCCAAGAAAAACAGAAATTTTGAAAACGCGTTTGATTCGTTCAGTTTTCCAAAATTTTCCTAGAAAATGAAAATTTCCAGTTTTCCAAATTGTATGTAAATCAGAAAAGTGATTTTTATAGTTTTCCAAAGTTTTCTAAATTTCTAAGATGAAAAATAAAAACTCCACTGGTTTCAACCAAACGCATTTTCTAAAATTTTTATTGAAAATTGAAAGCGAAAACTCAACTCAATTTTCTGAAAACATTTTCTTAGAAAATAAAAACTGTTTTCCACAACCAAACGCAACCTAAGTATCTTCCTACCTTTTGTTTTTACTTATCTTCCTACTCCAATACAACAATAATATAGATCTTGTTTTAGGTTGAATGCACATTTAAGAGTTTTAAGTTTGTTTTGTTCTGCCTAAAACTCATCAGTATTATCAGAGCATTTGGTTGTTTTCAAATAAATTTGCTATAATTGTTGAATTTGATCAAATTAGGGTTTACGGCAATTAAACTCTAAAAGACCTCAAATTTCGAAATAGGGTTAGGGTTTCTTGCTCCCTAAGTTTCGAAATTAAGGTAAGGATTTGAATCACTTTCCTTCCTCCCCAAGTTTTTTTTTCGAAAATTAGGAGATTGATAGGTTTTTCAAATTTTGGTAATTATCATTTTATTTGACTAAAAAGAGATAATTAAAATTGGATAACTCCTATACCCATTTTTTCGCAAATTTAGGAGTAAGCATCAGGATTAAATTATTCGAAAATTAGGAGACTGATAGGGTTTTCAAATTTTGGTAATTATCATTTTACTTGCCTAAAAAGAGAAATTAAAATTGGATAAATCTTATACCCATTTTATCGCAAATTTAGGAGTAAGCATTAGGATTAAATTATTTGATTAATTTAATTAAATAATCCTTTTATGATTTAATATATTTAAGTAAATGTTAATTAACAGATAAATATTAAATCATTTGTTTTATTTTTAAATTATTATTTAATTTTCAAAATTTTAATAATAAACCTAGTATTTTGAAAAAATTTAAAATACACTTTATACTATATGTAAAATTAAAAGTTTAATTATTACTATATCTATAAGACCAAGTCAGTCAAACCACTAGTACGACTCATTCACAAAGCTAGTTTATAAAGGGATATAAGGAAACTGCCTATAAAATGGTAGTTGAATGAGTGTCCACTCTCACCCACTGCTTCTTTGATTAGTGGAGGGTTGCTAGCTGAACAGGTTTGATAGGACAATTAATTCTCATTAATAAGTATAATCCTATTAAAAGTAACTAAACCTTTTATAAAAAAATCTCAATCTTAGTTACTTCTAAAAAATTGTGAATTTGTATACTGACCCATGAAATTGCACATTATACTTTATAGTAGTTAGTGAAGCGTGTGCGGTTAACTGACACACTAATAGTGACTATAAAGACTAATAATAGGCATCTAGAAAATTATCATTGATTAATGGAGCGTGTTTAGTTAACCGACACATTAATGAGTTGATAAACGACATCGAGAGTGCCAAGCTAATTTGCATGGTTATTCACATTTTTTTTTGTGATCTTCGGTATCCCAGTTACAATTAGAAGAGTATAATCTAAGATTAATGGAGTGTGTGTAGTTAACCGGCACATTAAGGAGCCTAGCCCCTAGCATTTTTGGCCACTCATACCTTTAGAGAGCTAGGCTGAAATTCTTCCCTCATCCCTCCTCTCTCCATAATCTCCTTCTTGCTTGTGTTGGGTGTGAATCATTAGAGGCACAATGCTTGTGGTGCTTGGTTCCAAAAGATCAACAAGAGAATTTCTAGTTGTTTGCTATAACAACTAAAGGTATGTAACCCTAAACCTATTTCTTTAGTAATTTCGAAAATTACCTAGGGTTTCTAGGGTTCTTATTTTGATGTATATAGTTATAGGTTCAATAGTGAAAACATAGATCTTGTTTTAGGTTGCATGCATACTTAAGAGTTTTAAGTTTATTTTGTTATGCCTAAAACCCATCAAACTTGACTTAAACCAATATGAAAGGTTAATTTAACGAAAGGGCATAAAGGAAACTAACCTCGATGACGAAATGGAAAATTTGGGTCTTTACAAAAAACCTCCACTCCGTTTGCCATATTTTCCTAGTGAAAGCAAGATTAACACAACTGACAGAGGTTTAATCGATAGATAGGAAGTTATTCAATTTCTCAAGCATAATTTACAAGTAGATCAAAATAGAATGAAGCAGAATACAGACAAGCATAGGACGGATAAGGTGTTTGAAGTAGGAGACCTGGTATACCTTAAGTTGCAACCATATAGGTAATCAACAGTTGAGCTCGGATCCAACCAAAAGTTGGCAGCCAAGCATTATGTGCCTTATCCTATAGTTTCCAAGGTAGGGTCAGTGACTTATATAAGCTTGTACATTATAAATTCCTCCTGGAGTTTTTATCCACCCAACTTTTAATATTTCATTTCTTAAAAAACATGTTCGAACTCTATCTACCTCTATTGCTTTTACCAAACACCCATACCGACATTGATCCACACCTGCCCAATAATTTTTTGAGGTTTGTACTATAAGGAAGCATAATCATGTGCATTTGGAGTGGCTAATCAAGTGGAAACATGACACCGATGAAGAAGCAACATGGGAATAATAAGAACAAGTGTCACAACCATATCCAACTTTTGATCCTTGGGGAGAATGATCAACTTAAGAGGTGGAAACCGATAAATGGTTAATTTTTTATAATATTCTAATATGTGAAACATCCCAAAAACACGGTCCAAAAATTTCAATTTTAATTCATTATTAAAACCATATATATCATCATCAAGTAAGCAACACAAACCATGTATCTCCAAAAACATCATAACATCTGTCAAAGTATCAAAATATCATATCAAATATCAGAGTGAAATATCCCAGGCAAGAAAACTGTGGTTTGTGCCATGCGATCATCCCGAGCCCTTCCCTTTGCTAGCAGAAGTACCTGAAACCAAAACTAAAAATTGTAAGCATGAAGCTTAGTGAGCTCCCCCAAACTACCACATACCATACAATAAACACATAATAGCATATATTGGGCCTTGCCCACTGCATCGGCCCCCGCCCGGCATCGGACCGAAGTCTAGTGTATATATATATATATATATATATATATATATATATATCCATAACAATAACACATAACACATAACATATAAAACTTCCTCGGGCTTGCCCCGACATCGGAGTGAAGTCCGGAACACATAACACATGACATAAAAACTAAATCTTCATCGGGCTTGCCTCGGCATCAGACCGAAGTCTGGAACATACAAACATGAAACATCCCAAAAAAATACCAGCTAAAAATTTCATTTTTAAATTAGGTTAATACATAAAACATCGTTATAAAACGTTCATAACAAAATATTCAGAGTACATCCCAGAAAATCCACAGTGCGGAAAACATGAGAGTGTGTGATATGCCGCTACCGCGCCGGCTCCTGTCCCCTAGCTGAAGAGGTACCTGAAAACAAAACTTTAAAACGTAAGCACGAAGCTTAGTGAGTTCCCCCATAATGCCACATACCATGCAATCATATAATGAACATCTAAGAGATACGGGCCTCGCCCACACCCATAGAGATACGGGCCTCGCCCACACTCTACTAACTAGGAGATACGGGCCTCGCCCACACTCTACTTTCTGAGAGATATGGGCCTCGCCCACGCTCTGCTATCCATGGAGATACGGGCCTCGCCCACACTCCGCTACTAATCCATAACATACAAGTATCACACAGACAACAAGTATAAGCAATTCTATCATACTGGCATATATCACAATCAAACTCAGCTATGAGATACGGGCTCCGCCCACACTCCGATACTAACATATCTTCTATACGGGCCGGCCTTGGTGCCTTAGACCCGTCCCTACTGGAAGGAAACTCACCTCGAGAGTAGCTGCCGAAAACCTGCTCAGACTACGCCTGGCTGCCGCACCGGTAATCCCTCCGGCTATAAATCCGTAAACATGGATTAGGTACTCATAAATACCCCTAAGGTCAAATGACCGGTCAAAGTCAACTCCTTGGTCAAAGTCAACCTTCTGATTGACTGGACTCGCCGAGTCCTTCTTTGTCTAGCCCGACTCTGACTCATCGGGTCCCTGTTCCCACTCACTGAGTCAGCCTGACTCGCTAGACGGGGACAACTAACAAACCCGCGACTGGACTCGCCGAGTCCAAGGGGGTGACTCGCCGAGTCCGACGAACAGAACTTACAAATCGCTCCAATCTTCCATCAG